AAATACCAAAAATATACCGAAAAGTCACCAAATTAAGTGAAAAATAATGAATTTTGCTTGTTTACATCACGTTTTTTTGTAATATTCTATTACAACATATTAAATTACCAAATTGGGTTGAAAATGACCTTTTTTATGATCTTTTGAGCGTTTTAGCACGTTTTTCAATTAAAAATTTACAAAATTATTTCGTCACAAATCGCCAAATTTACTCAAAAATCGTGTTGTTTTTACTTTTTTAGATTGTGCTAAAAATTTTGTTCAAAAATAATACCATTTTTCCGTTTTAGGACGTTTTTTAGTCAGAATAGCAATTGTTTTGAAAATTTTCGATATGAGGTAAAAAATGAATAAACTATCACGAAACTAAAATTATTTTTGGTTCTTTGGAGAGTTTAAGCATGTTTTGAGCCGAAAGAAAAATCATCTATTTACATTTCCAAATGTTTTAGCAGATTTTTAATCAAAAGCACAAAACTTCGTCAAAAATAAGCCGAAAAATCACATAATTAATTCGAAAATGATGTTATTTTTGCTTTTTTCAAACACTTAGTTGCGTTTTTAAGTCTAAAACAAAGTTTTTTCTTTAATTTTTGCTAAAAAACATACCAAAATTAATACATATTCCAGACTAAATAAAAAACGACATAATTTATGCTCTTTTCGAGCGTTTTAAAACATTTTTCAGTAAAAAACGCAATTATTTCGGAAATTTTTGTCAAGAATACGTCCGAAAGTAATTGAATTAAGTAAAAATAGTCTTATTTGTGCTTTTTTTAAACATTTATTTATAATTTTTCATTTATTTAAACATATTTTAACACCTTTATCCACTGTTTATTCAAGAATCCAACAATCGCCTTTAGCATTTGGTAATTTCATTCCTAATAGAAACCAACACTTAAAAGTCTTTTTCAATTAATATTGAATGTTAAATATCTTTTCATTTATCAATTCTAGACATCAAAAGTTTATTTTTTAGACAGACAATTTATGAATCTATTAGATGATAAAAAATAGTGTTCTATTTTTTTTTAAGTTATTTAACTTTTTGAAAACTTCTTCATTTATTAATCTTTACAAATGCAAAACACTAAAAAATTGCTACAACTTTAAATTCTGTACTTTCTTCTTTGCAGAAGTAAGAAAAAATTTCTTCTACCTGTCTTAGTTTTTGTGTAATAAATTTTTAAAAAGTGCATGTTTTCATCAAAAAAACGTTTTATTTCGAAAACTAAGCGAAATCGACTAATAAAAGTTTAGCTTAAAATCATTGTTTTAAAAGGCTACATCCAAAAATGCCAAGAAACATACGGTGTTTCATTAAAAAAAACACAAGTTTTTATTGTAACTTATTTTTGAGATACACTGTATAGTTAAAAATAATTTTAGGTGATGCACTAGACTAGTCTCTATCAATGTCCTACACAATTTTTTTAAAATTTTACTATTTAAAGGTCACTAATGTACTTTTTCAACTCGCTGAGACACCTTGTATAACTGGATATTCCACGAGTGGTTGTAGTGAATATTTTAAACTACCTTGATTTTTTACTATGAAAATGAAATCATGTGTAACGCAAATTTGACATTTGTTCCATTGAATACATTATTGAATACAATTCGTAGTCATTGATTTTAGAAATTTTATTTCATGGTCATTACGCTTCGTGCTGCGCACTCATGGTGTTCATAAGCGAATGGCAATTCCTAAAAATATTTGACTTGTTGTATTATAACTGACTATACCTAGAAAAATATACATGAGAAATTTTTATTTTTTATGAAAAAGTATGTGTACCCCAAAAATAATGGATTTCGTCTTTTTTGTAATAAAAGTTTCAGACGGTAACAATCACGTATTGTGAAACCTTCAGTTGCAACATTCCTCTCAAAGAATTTCTGTCAAAAATGGTGATTTATTTGTCTGATTGTACCGCAAATAGGTAATATCCGATCGAAAACATCTGACATCCTTGATCGGTCTAGGAGAAAGTATATTGAAAAGATGCAATCCTATTGAATGTGATATTACAAAATACACGGATATTATATCAGATACAACATTTACACTAATCTAAAAAGCTCTCTTATTGAAACTCGAGGGATATTTCCTTCATAAATAACTAATGCCATGAACTGTTAAATTGTTAAAACCTTGTTTGTTTCATTTGAGTGAAACAATCAATATGACCAAACTCAGGATTCAAATAGTGATCTTAAAATTGAGGAAGGATTTTTTAAAGCTTGAACACGGAGCTGAGAGTAATTTGAACGAAAACAGATGTTGGGTTTATCGATAAGTGATTGAAGTGAGCTAAGTCCCCATCATAAAAATTCAAATTCAAAATTATAACTTCATAAAGTGAACGGAAACATTCTTATTCAATGAATTTTTTTAATTTAAAAAAAAATGGAAGACGTGAAGCATGTCTAACAGTCGTGCAATTTTAATTTATGGAATTATATGTCTTGTTACCCCATACAAAAAATTAATTTCTATTGAAAATGCACATGTGAGCTTTCTAATTTGTAAATATGTGCAACCTATCAGGTAGATAGAATAATTGTGATTAGATTATTTTTTTTAAGATCTAAAAGTCAAAACAATATTTGGCTTTCTAAGAACTTCCACAAATTCAAGGTATAAAAATATTAGCGAACTGATTTTTTACTTTTATTACAATTTATTACAATTAAAAAAGTTTTGACAACAAATAAAGTTTATAATTTCTTTAATATTTTCAATAAATATTTTTGAACATTTATAAAAT